TATCATGCTCCGTGAAATAAGCCAGTGGAAAAAGATAAGTATCAAATGATTTCACTCATCTGTGGAGTATAAGAACAAAGAAAAAAACTGAAGGAACAAAACAGCAGCAGACTCACAGAACCCAGGAATGGACTAACAGTTACCAAAGGGAAAGGGACTGGGGAGGATGGGTGGGAAGGGAGGGATAAGGGGAAAAAAAGGGGGGGACATTACGGTTAGCACAAAAATGTAGTGGGGGGGGACAATGGAAAGGCAGTATATACAGAGAAGACAAGTAATGATTCTATAGCATCTTACTACGCTGATGGACAGTGACTGTAAAGGGTTTGTGGTTGGGACCTGATAATGGGGGGAGTCTAGTAATCATAATGGTCAAGTAATTGTACATTAATGATATCAAAATAATAAATAAATGTAAGGGTCACAACCACATGTAATGTATGGATCTTGTTTGAATCTTAAATCAAACCAGCAGTAAGAAACTTTTTAACAATTTAGAAAATTTTAATATGGAATGGCTATTCCATATTAAAAATTATTACTTTCCATAGTAGTAATAATGACATTACAATTCTGTAATAAAGGCCGAATGTTAGAAATGCATACCAGTATATAAGTAAGATTGACAAAATGTTAGTAATTGCAGCTGGGTGTTCATTATTGTTCTTACTATTTCTGTATATATTTGAAATTTTTCATCATAAAAAGTTAAAATGAAAGGGCAGGTAAACTAAAAAGGAAAAAATAGGAATAAGGAAAAAAAATCCTATTATCCTAGTAATTCTTGTTTATAGAACCAAAGGGCTATCTGGTAAAAGTCCTTGACTCCTGCAATCAATCCTTGCAGCAAATCTGGGTTTATCTCATGCACACGTCCTCTGTTTCTCTGCAACACATATGAAGCACTTAGATGGCTTCCTAGGGACAGGAAATTGTGGGGATTTGTTTTTCTGTTAGGAGCACTGATACTTAGCACTACCCTGCAGTGAGACAGTTCTTTCATCTCAGAGTCATCCATTGTTGCCATTAAATTAAACTTAATAAGCTAATGGAATTGCCAGTGTTCTGCTAGCATTAGTGATGAAGTAGCTAACTACAAATTTAGATCAGGGACCACTTTTTACCTTAGTCATTACCAGAAATGACCAGCATGGCCTCTGGCTCCCAGGAAGAACTAATGTTTAATTGAACTTAAACTCTTAAGGAAAAGGTGCTACAATAATTTGAATGCCACTTAGCATGGTGAAAAACTGTGCTAAGAGATTATATTTAGGGACTCAAGTTCAGAGACTACTTCCTAAGACAATATTCCTTTACCAGTCACTAGGAATTTGGTTGGTGAGAAAGAAACAAATGAGAGAGTGTAGGGATAATAGAAGTCTGAAGCATCAAGTCAGGGTAAGGTTGAGAGGGAAAAAATTTGGCTTCACTGGGATCCTTGTTTAATATAGTACTTAAAAACAAATAAAAACCTTTTCCCTACCCTTCTTTTTATCCTTTTCCTTCATGTTATCTTCAGTGATAGTGCTTGCCAATTCTCAGGTGTCCCCACACCATAGAATGTCAGGGAGCTGGGCTGGCAATCTCCAAATCTGTAATGACTAAGGTTTTGTCTGGTGACATGTAATGTATAGATCTGTATGCTTTTCCTTTTTGTCTAAAAATGAAACTCCAGTAACCTTTGTTACTTTTCAGTGTTGTTTTTTTAATGAGTATTTCCTAATCTGAAGCCCTTACCCCTTAGTGTAACAATTAATAAAACACTAAACCATTTTAAATTTTGTGAAGAAAAGCACAAATAAAAACATGATGTATTGCTGCTTGAATTGGTAAGCACGTATCCTAAACCTTTTTTCTTTAGTAGATTTTGAGACCAAAGACGATAATGTAACAGATTTAGGAGCTCACTTCAAGAGAACATCATCCCCATTCCCCACCTGTCCTTACTACCTTTTTGTGTGCTGTTGTAAACTACTTGACCAAGACATTTCCTTCTGACCAGTTCCAACAATTTGGCTTTATCCCATTCTCATTTAGTACTTAATGGGATGGCAGCAACATCATGAAATCAATTCCTAGAAGTCACAAAAGATTTTGACATGAGGGGATGTCCCACATTTAGAGTTCCCTTCTGCATAAGATACTGGAGGCCTCATTGCGGGGAATTCTTGAGAGAAAACAATAGGAGGATGAGGGGTTGTGAGTTGCTGGGGGGTTTTCCTAAAGAAAAATAACAATAAAATAACCCTGTTGACTGTAAAGCAGTGCTTCTATCTGGGGTCAAGGCCAGAGCAATGGACACCTTATCTCACTCATCCTCTTCCTCTGATAAAGCACCAACCAATACTGAAGTCTTTACTCATGAGAGCCTAAAGGCCTTTTTATAAAATTGCTTGAAAAAGAAGCTAACAAAGGAAACTGAAATTGAGAGGATTTTCCAGTCTCCTTCTGGTGGCTGGTCCAAAAGGATGGTTCAGTTCCTGCAGCTCACCTGCCTCTTCATCACCATTACACCGATGTCACCAATGGGTGAGTACTTGGCACAATGCACTTTTTGTTGTGGAAATTTGCTATTATATTCAGATTATTAATAGCTAGATTCTAGTATTTTAAATACTGGTTCTAGAATAGTGTAAGAAAAGTCACTGATAACCTTTGAAGATATTTTTTTCAGGAAATTTCATGTTCCATCTTAGCCTCTTGCCTGGTCATCCAAAATATCCATAAATCTGCCTTATCTAACAGCCTTCCACCAACTAAGTATTTCTTGGAGCATGTGTAAAAGGAATTCTACCTCCTTATACTCAAGGCATTTTTATAGTTCTGATATTAAGAGCAAAAAAAATTATTTCTAGATTGGAAGATAGAGTTTTTCCTCTAATGAATACAAGGAACAGATTGAAATCTCTGTCCCCATGAAAGGCACAGATCTGGATAAATCAAACTTCTTAGTCTTGACATCTGAAAATAAGACTTTGCAGAGACTCTGAACTGTCTCCTCATGCTTGGCACAAAATTGGCCAACAAGGCAAAGAAAAATTTCAATTCCAGTTACTAATTTCTCTCTCCTTTTTCCAATAGAATTTAAGTTCTAACTGCAAGAGAGGATAAGAGGAGGTTGAGATGGTGAGAACCAAACTTCTTCGCACTGTTGAGTAGCTCAGTGTTTAACTGATCCTGATTTATTTCATCAGGGTCCAACTCAGGCCTTGCTCTAGAACATTTAAGGATATACATTAAAAAGGTTTGAGACCCTAAACATGAAACCTGAAGGCATTGTGGAATCCTGGATGGGATTCTGAAACAGAGGAAGTCATATGCAAAAACTTAAGAAATCTAAATAAACTATATAGTAATAAATTATGTTTCAACTGGTTCATTAATTATGACAAAGGTACAATACCAATGGGTGATATTTGATAGTAAGGGAAACTGGGTGCTGGTGATATGGGAACACCTTGTACCATCTTCTCAATTACTCTCTACATCTAAAACTGTTCTAAGAGTCTATTAAAGATAGGCTTGAGCTAAATTTAATCCCCTTGTACCTGCTGCCAATGGCCAACCTCCCCTCAACTTCCTCTCCGTGGGGCCCTTCCCTTGCTTACTCTCCCTCTAGGAACCTCCTGTACCCTCCCATCCTACAGCGCCTCCCTTCCCAGATATTATAATTTTTTATTTGTTTTTTGCAGCCCTTATAACACATTTTATTCCATGCCAGAAGCAGGATAGAGAGAACTTTGGCGGTTTGAGACAGGTGGGGGGACTTGCCCTGGGAGGAGAGGGTAAGTAAGAGGAGAGGAGGTGGGAGCGGGAAGCCCAAGGGGACACCAGGAGAGGTCAGACGGGGAGGGAGAAGTGAGGCGGCCTCCTGGACCCAGCAGGGCGGCGGGGAGGACACAAAAAGCCTGGGCGGCTGACCTTTGCTCTCTGCGCTCGGCCGCTGCGAGGTGTCCGCCCGGGGCGCGCAGACAGCCGCGCTGTGTCCCGAGGGGACCCGGGAGCGGCGACCGGCACGCAGCCCTCCTAGTTAGGTTCCTAAGGTCGGGGCCACCTGACTCCAACTTTGAAGGGAACCCACAGGGCTGTTCTTTGTGAAGCTCTCCCTTTTGAGGAATACATACCAGCAATTTAGAACGCAGTATGTATGATACCGAATTCCGGGCTCCACATTTAGAGACTGAAAACAGGAATTAACACCTTTGCAAGACTATTAAAGATTGAATTACTTTGCAAGAGAGTGGACTGGAACAGGTATATTTAATGTTAGAAAATACAGGGTGGTTAACTTAAAAATTTTTGTTTTACTTAAGGTAGCCCGTGAATTTCTTGTTTGTGCAACATATCACCCACAAAAGAAGTGAACTTTTTTTGTTGTTGTTGTTATTCCAATAATTTTATTTTTTCATCCAATACATCAAAGTAAAACTGTTGGGATTTCATTCTGTCAGAGATGAAATATCTGTCATTATTGTGAACACTGTTGTAAATTCAGCATAAAATATTAACCTTGAAGAAACACTTCTTGTTTTTGTGGTGATACTATAAATACAAATGTTAGGAAAGCACAGTGACATAATGAAAGTAATGTTCTTACTGAATTATAAAACCCAGGGACAAAACATGTATTTCGAATCAGTTGTGGTACACATAATTTAGGATCACATCCAAACAAGTTATGATGGTTCATCAAAATAGAAGCTATAGCTGTGAAAATTTACAAATATTTTCATATAGAGACAATTAGAATAATGGAGATACAAAATACTTTACCAATATGGAAATTCTTATCCATAGGATAAAAATAATATGTAGAAGTATGGAAGCTTTTGAAAAGTCTTTTTAATCAACCTAAGTGATCTGCAATAATATTGGACTCATTCATTAAAACATTCTCAAAACTGTATTGTATTATTTAAAATCATTTAGAAATTTTGCATCTTTAATCAAAGTATATAATGAATGAAGCCTAAAAACTGTCAGCTTTTGAAAGCTTTAGCAAGTTCCAAGTATTGAAAACAAATCTTGCAAACTGAAAGGCATGGAAATTCATCCCTCGATAGTAAGGGGAACACTAAACAAAATAAACAAATAAAAACAATGTACAGGATGTAATTCAGAAATTACATAATTGTGATTTGGAATACATTGTTCTGTGGCAATACTCATTTGTTGAAGTTCCTAATTTTTTTT